GTTTATAATAGCACACCTCTGCCATAAATTCATTATCAGTAGTGTCCCATTTTTCCCTTCCCCAAGATTCAGATCTACTTGATGAAGGCGATCTCGTGCCTTCCTCTAACTTGTCATCGGGCTTCGTCCCGTATGATGGTGTTGCAATATCTTTGCTGACAGTAATTTTGCCAGTATCTATGTTGCATAGAACATCCCACCATGAACTGTGATCTTCAAAAATTCGGTTCGTTACCCCTGCAATGAATCCAGGTCTATTTGCATATGAACAGGCAAATGGTAAATTGATGGGTCCTTTTAAAAAGATAACAATAATAAATGCTTATTTCAACACTTACACCTTAAGTAGATCATCAACATTGGTTAAATTGGTATAAGGAAAAGCTCTTTCCGTAAATCCTCTCAGTACTCCTCCACTACCACTGCCCATCGCACAAGCCGACAGAACATAATTTGCAACATCTCCTGATGGATGTCCTTGTCCCAAGAATATTATTCGCTTCTGAGTAAGCAATGCATTGAGTAATAAAATTATAGGATGAGTTTGATTTCCACTAGAATCCAGATGTGGATGAAATGCATGATTAAAAGGTGTGGGTGAAGGTGGTGAGAAAGTTGTAATTAATTTTATCAGAGAAAACTGTTTGAATAGAATTAGATAGTTGGAAAGTGTTAAACTAATTCAGTCTGCATACAATACAAAAGCAGCTGATGATCAAACAACTCACATCACCAACTTCTTCTGGATTAACCGTTAGAGGTACTCTAATTGGCAATTTAATCCCATTATACACAATTTTTGTCTCAAAAAAATGTCTATCCTTGTTTTTGTTCAAATTCGGCATTAAGTCAATATAGGTTCCTTTTTTTAGATTCGCCAACCTTTCTCTTTCTAGCCTTTCTTTTTCCTCTTCGCTAACTGGCATATAATCGTCATTATTCATGTATATGCTATTTGGATTCTCCTCAGTCCCACTAGTTATTCCTGATACTTTCCCAGATCCTTCGTTCGATGGCTGTTCATTTCCAGTGCCACTATTGTCACGAATATGTTTCCTGCTATTTTCGTATGGTATGAATTTTTCTTCGAACATATCTTTGTTCTCCGAAGCTCTCAATATTGCTTTTTCGTGTGCATTGAATTCTGGCATGTATCTACAATCCATTGAATTCACGGCCTGATACAACGAGGCAAGAACTTCTACCGAGGGCTCTTGAAAGTATTTGTCCAACGCTAGTAGAAGAGCTGGCTATATTTCAAATCACATGGGAAGTTATCCAAATGTTAATGCATGTGATCTGGAAAGTAAAGAAAGACTATGAAAGAACTCTAACCTTGTATATGTGTAAATACTGATGCCGGGTGCAAATCGCCATAGCTTTTACTACGGCGCCTCTAAAAAAAGTTTATATACCTATCCATCGTTACTTTCCAATCCAATTACCGTTTTGCCGATATTTTAGGAAGCTATGATAAATGATTTTTATATTT